CATAAAAGTTTACGCATTTTAATAGAAAAGGCCTTCTATATGAAAAGAAAATGTAAGATTGGATGACAAAGTAACACCAAAGTATCGGAAAGAGGATACCTCGTTGGGCAGAATGTCAATAGTTTCAGGACTGAGAGAGGGTCGCAGTCGAAAAATACACTGGACTGACTTCCGCTCGTTAAGTTAGAGCCATTTGCTGATTAACACAATGGTGTTCCGGAAGTAGGCGACTAACTAATCGTATGTTCCTATCTCTCTGTATTGGGAACAGACAAATCGAAAAAGTTGTTTACGATATTTGAAAATTCCCGGTTAAAGGATGGGTATGACATGGAACTAAGTGCCACGTGAATAAAGCAAATCTGCCAAACCCTCCTAACAATTAGGTGAGCTCAGTAGTCATCCTGGTGGATTCTAGATGATTGCCTAAAACATCCTGCCTGGCAGTCAGCCTGCTGTACCCATACTGGTGGATTTCATACGAGCAGTAAGTTGGGCGAGTAAAATCGATCCAAGTGTGATTAAATTCACGGCGCACGGTGAGACTTGTAGCTCAATGATAGAGCGTTGGCTTCATAAAAGCCTCTGCTGCTGTGTGGGTTCGACTCTCACCGAGGCCGCGAGTTTTTTCACAATTGGGTCAGCTGAACTATATTTCTATAGCTTCTGCTTATTTGTTTCCCAAGATGTGCATTATCGCACATTTTAATTATGTCGCGCTTTTTATTGGCATACATAACTTAAATAATTATCCCTATGCTTCTACTTTTATTAACTTTATTTTTATTTATATTTCCCTTCTTTTGTATTGTCCAGATTGTACACTCTTTATTTCACCCGGTTCCGTAGTACAGAAGGATGAGGCTTTCGTGTGCTGATCTGGGACCCAAAGTAGGATTCTACCGAAAAAATTTGACAAAACCAGCAGAGAATTTACACATCCCAAATATCTCTTTCGCATCTCGATTACTCCGTCTGAGACTCTGGTTTGCTCACTAACAATACAGAGTGACTCTTTAGTCATTTTGCTCTCTTTGCCTTTTGCATTTGTTTAGCTTCAGATATTTTCGGTGAAAGAAATATCCTCAAATGCAAATGTACGCATTTTATTGCTTTGACCTACCATATCTATGTTCAGGCGTACTTTCCACTGGGGTCTCAGACTGGCAAAGAAGCCGCGATGAATGACAAACAGCTTGTTCCTCACCTCCTGTAGGGGTTGCGGGCAAAAGCTTGCTGTTTTACCAAAATTGAGGAAGTTCACCCGATTGATCCATTTGACTGCACAATCAAGCATGTTGATTGAATCCTAGAGGAGACGATATAAATTAGTTTAAACTGGCCCAGGGAAGTCTAAACTTACTTGAGGTATGTTGAACGTGCAGGCATTGGGATTTGCCACGTAGCTAGCCAGGGCGCCGGAGCTGACCTCGCCCACCCTCTTGATGGTGTATTTTACAAAAAGCTCATCCTGATTGGTTGGATCGGGAACGGACTCCTCGCGAATAAGTCCTGCCGTACTGACATCCTTCAGTGGCCTGATAGAATAGACTATCCGTCCTCCATCATAAAAAGTATCGCCAGGAAAACTACGAATGAAAATATTGGATAAGGTGAAGTATACTTCCAGGGATTTGGGACCTAAAACATGTTACGAAATGGGTGACAGCAGGGGGTAAAAGTTCAGTTTAGGTGGCCCAATTTTGAAAAACTCGTGGCATTCGGTGAGATTTGAACCCGCATAGTAGGGAAGACAATTACTCGAAGCAAATGCTCTACCAGTTGAGCTACAAATGTCTAGCCTAGCACTGAGTCTAATCACACTTGGATCGATTTTACCCGCCCAACTTTACCGCTCATATGGAATCCACCAATACGGAAGAGAAAGCTGACTGCCATAGCAGTTTTTCCTAAGCAATCATTTAGAATCCACCAGCATCACTACTAGGCTGAATGCCGCGAGTTTTTTTACAGTTGGGTCAACTAAATTAAGTAAATCTGCCAAACCTCCTAAATAAAAAAGTTCAGTTGTTTGATATTTTAGATTGGCTTTAAGCGAGCGAAAGGGACGTTATACAGGACAATGCGAGCTTAGTGAGGTTTTTTTCCAGATTTAACTCTGAAATTGTCCGTTCTTTACAGGGACTATTTAGGAATTCGCGCTCGCTTCAACTGCATATTAGGCGGGTCCACAGCCCGCATGGCAGGGATTCTAACGGACAGCTCTTGAGTGCTGAATGCATTAAAAAATAAAAACCGTAGTTTTAGTGGAAAACCAGTAAGGCATGGCGTTGTTAACTTATAAGAACATCGTATGCTGGATTCAGTTGTCGCAAAACTGCTTGAAAGTCGACAGCTGGGGCCTAATTGAAGGAAGCGTTATGGTGCGTAGGCATGATAGATCCTCTATGCCATGAAATATCAACCAAAATTCTGAAATGCATTTTCAATTCGAAAAAATATTTAATTTGGGTTGAAATATTGGTTATCCTTTAGATAATCCTAACATATTTCAGTCAAGTTAGGATGCCGGCATTTGAGCAAGCTTTTTCCGACCGTCCGTTAAAAGCATGCTCTTAAAAATTGCAACCTAAGTACTATTCATTTTTTCTCATTTACTTTGAATACCCTTATAAATTTAAATGCGTTTTCTGGAAGCCATGCATAAAAATAGTCTTCCTTATACTCGTTTGATAGCCAATTACGCTTGCTTCAAATTGGCTATCTGAGGCATGGGAACGGTTGGATTTAAAAACTTTCTAAATTGCTAAATAATTTTGGGCGTTTGAATATTTGCACATTTCCTCAAGCCTGACGACGACCTGGGAATCCAGCGTCCGAAATTTACTGAATTAAGTTACTATATTTTGCCAGAGAATGCCGTTCTTTGAAATTATATTTCTTGGGATGCCTGCCTTCCAATTTTGAGCTCTACTGGCCGTTTTTAAACTGCATGTTGTATACATTCTGAATAAAGAAAAACACGCAATGACGAAGAGGTCACGGTCATCAAGCATTTCGTCATCGGGCATCAATTCGAACATTCCACCTCCGCCTTTTAGGAATTTGACGCTGTCAGCCACTTGAACTATGCTCTCAATAACCAAGGCCTGGTTAGATATCTGGTTAAGGCTAAATATAATTTCAACTCTTCGTCGTTCGATTTTGTATCTTAGTTTGCTTTTTTACCCTTTAGAGACAAAGTCGAACGTTACGGTAACTTATAAGGTATCGCAAGCACTTATATGGTGCCACTTAAGTCCTAAAACTACTTATAATACAGATTACTTCTGGCTGTAACGCATAACAAGTAATAAGATGCCGCTTACACAAAAATCTATTGTTTTAAAAAAGGATATTAGAATTCACTTGCTGAAATTTTAGCGAGACGACCACCAACATAAGTTGTATAGGCTAAGAACGTATTTG